TAAATGTGGTAATTACTCTGTGTTTACTCGATATTGATAACCAATACTCGTTACACTAAAGGCAATACTCGTGACACCGGCGGGCAACTCCAACGCAATACTCGGTACACTGACATGTGTATTTATTCTCAAAATGCACTGTCATCTGAGGGTCTATTGTTGATTGAACATTTACAACATAAACATTATCATCATTAACACATTTCACTCGATTCAAGTTTTTCTTTTAAGGAAGTATATGCACAAAAACATCAAATTTGACTGATCCATGCTCATTTATCACGTGAGCAAAGAGACGAATTTTACCTCCTAATTACATTTCAAAGCTATGTCTCAACATTTTTGGGGTTTCAGTAACCAGAGAAATTATCGAAGTATTTGTTTTTCTATAAAATTTATATCAAACCAATTCAAAATTACTAAATATCGAACTTACCTTCCTTCCTCGTTCAAAGTCGCGAAATGGGATGAAAGTCCTCATTATATCGAGCAATATCCGGGGTACGGTATACCGCAGTGAATCAATAAATTTTCTTTGTTTTATCTTGCTGTGATAATGGATTTTGATTCCGTAAGATGCGTATCATCTAAAGAAAATAGCACTTAATGTAGGAACATTTGTGGTGAAGGTAGAAATTGATAAGTAAGTACGTCAAAACTGTAAACGTGAAGTTGAGAGTTCGATTCCTCGTTTAATTTCTTAAACTTTCTTTCATGAAATTATATGTACCATGGATTGATAAAACAATATCTAAAGCTACACATTTACCCATGTGCCCTTAAATCCGCATGGTTTAATCCGGGATCAGATTATTATTGAAAAAAAGGTTATTGAATATGCAAATGTCTTAGGTCAATATTGTCGAACAATAATTATAAAGATTATTTTATATGCTATTTAACAAAGAAAGTTGAAACAGTGAACCAGCACTATCTATATACAATCAGTTTATGAACCGTAAACAATTTCTTTCAAAAGGAAAAGTTGTTTTATGATAAGTAGGGTCATATTTTTTTCTATTAAGAATTTTTTTATGGATAAATAGCGAAAGTGTAAATGTTAAACTTCGACCAACACGGATTTATTGAGCCTATTTACGACGGCTGTGTCAATGCACGCTTCTGTTCATTTACCCCATCACCTGCAAAAGCAAAGTATATAATTCAAAACTTGTGGAGGAATTGAAACTGAAGAAATCTGACTGATGATAGATATTCAAAGCAGTTTTATCTTTCCAGTTGCACGAAATAAAGGTCTGCAAAAACAAAGGTCTCATAACAAGTGCTGCTTTCTTCTTTTTAAGAAGTAAGCCATAATTTTCTAAACCCTCATAAGACAACCACACCCTTTACATAATTACAGCTCATCTTAGGTCAAACAGTCGAAAAAAATCGAAATACTTCTATCGATCATGTTGGGCACGTGAATTAAACTCAAAATCTATGTTTTGTGCAGTCTCAGCTCTATTTCATTTTAAAATGTTTAAATACTTTCCATTTTAAGATTTTGCACAAGAAAAAAGTACTTGTCAAGTAAACTAAATGTTTGCACATAAGCTATTGGCCTGCATCACATGGTATACAAATCATGAAAGAATTTTTTTGTAGTGAAAAGACTTAATCGAGTCCCATTTAATATTTAGATTTCATTTCCCAATAAGTTCCCCCTTTCTTTTCTAAATTCTTTATATATTATTACGTGGAGCTAAGTAGAAATGCAAAAAGTACGGAAACATTAAAGGGCCTCCATTCAGAGCGATCATTAGGTGTAAGACGACAGATTGTTGTTCGATTTGATTAGATGTTTTAACACAAATCAATTCATTTTATTCACAATGACTAGACCATATTTGTCATTCGTACTCACTTTTCTCAAACTGCTTGCAGGTTTTTTGTCTAGGCGAATTTTTGTCCAAAAAAATAACAAATGCTTCACAAAAGACGAAAAGATACCTTTACGCCTTGACAAAAAATTCAAGCATATCGATAGAAAAGGTTCAACGAAATCAAAGTTACTTTTTTAATTATTGAGAATATAATAAATTGACTTGTTTTAGAACGTCTTATTTAAACGAACTAAAATCAGTAGACTTACACATCATCATCTCACCTGCTCACTTCTTGGAGGCCCTTTAACGTTTCCGTACAATAAGCGTACTTTTGATAAATCAACATATCCTGTTTCAACTTCAATAAATGAAATATATTCACAAAATAAAGTTTCCCTTTGTTAATTGTTTTTATGTGGTTTTCTCAAGGGATGTCCCCTTTCCAGAAAGTTTGTTTAGTACAAATTACCTGATATTAAGGCTTGTATTCCTTTTTTTATTTCGTCATTAAAGGCCCATTATTCCTCAGAAATCATATATTTTTTATTTCTCAAAAACTTTGTTTGTTGGTATCTTGTTACAGTTTCTAAAGATTAACCCATTTACCAAACAGATCATGCAGATTATAACTATAGTTTGCTGTCTTTGTTCTTAGGCAATTAGTATAATTTAAACGAATTAATAATTTGTATTGAAGTCGAGGTTTTTAAAAAAAAATATGTATTTCTGAGGCATTATGTGCCTTTAAAACAATGCAACACACTACTGTATGATTCATCCAAAGGATTTGGATGTTTGACTTGTTTTTAGTAAGCTTGTTTTTTCTCTAATTCTAAAAACAAATGTATATGAGCATCGAAGGGTCAGTATACATATGAATACAAAAAGATGAACTTGTCAGTCAAATAAAAGCTAACATTCAAATGTAATTTCCTTAACATGATTTTTTGTCTTTTGTAATTAAATGTCGGGGTATTTCTTAAATGTCGGATTATTTCTTTATAAATGCCAATTGATATTCAATAATTTTCATGCATAAAAATAAATAAAGACATATGATATATTTAAGGAGAGGACTACTATGAGCTATTGTAGCTCTCGGTCCAATTCCTTTCTGCTTAAATTGTAAATTATTAACATGTATATATTATCTGAATAAAAATATGTTTAAACCAAAGACATATGAGTTAACAGTTACAAATATAGTAAAATTAAGTCTAAGAATTATTTTGTTATTTTGTTCGTCTTTGATTCAGAGACAAAATGTCGAACAATAATCGCCTACGATATTTATCTATGATAAATTAAATATAATTATAAATAAATGATATAAAATGGAAACCTGAAAGAACGAACAAAATGGCAAAACAGAAAATAATGCAGGCTCGGTTTGATCGCGCTTGTTCTATGACAGCAGTGGTGAGTTACCGTACACACCTCCTAGAAACGGGTTAGGTAACAACATTCAAACATTTACACATAAAAATAATGAATTTGAATTAAGAAATATCCGCACATAAGAAAGTGATTACAGAACACGTTGAGAATGATAAGTGTTTTTGAGTTATGGATATATTTATTATAATGATTCTTTAATCTTTGTTGGTTGTGATTTTCAGCTACTTGTTGTTTTTGTTTTGTTTGTTTGTTGTAGTTGTTTTGTTTTTGTTGTTATTGCTGTGTGTTTGTTGTTTGGGGTTTAATTGGGGGGAAGGGGTTTTTTGTTGCTGTTGTTTTGTTTGTTGTTTTCATTTTTGTATGTAGGGGTCTTTCTCTTTCTTTCTTTATTTCTTTCTTTCTTTCTTTCTTTCTTTCTTTCTTTCTTTCTTTCTTTCTTTCTTTCTTTTTTTCTTTCTTTCTTTCTTTCTTTCTTTCTTTAATCCTTTCCTTCTTTTATCGTTTGTTTATAGTTAAAGAAACTAAACTAAAATAGAAGAATTTCTGAATAGGAAAGATTTCTTTTTTCGAGACTTCAAACACTTCTAGTCATGTAAAATAGCTTATGCAAGAACAAAACATGTTATTGTTTGTTATATTATGTTGGTGATACTGTGATACTGATATAGTCTTTTCGCATCACAATACCACACGTACATAGATAATTAACTATTATCACGCTAAATATATTAAAATTGACGTGTCCATCTTTTAATCCGGGCAAAACCATTCTTCAGTTTTAAATAACATCGTCGAATACCCACGGTCTATTAACATGTTACAAACATTTAATGATAAATGTTAATGGTTCGACCGTAGGTAAATAACTACTCTGAATGGCGAATACTACATATAACGTTGATGTGACTTGTGTAGATTAAGTTGCCACCGTAGAAATACATAAGGGGCTTGACATTTTATTTTATTTTTCCGTAGGGGGTTATGAGTAAAATATGTGCTTGCTTGTACTACTTTTTGCGTAATTTTTACTAAACCCTTAATTTGGTATCCGCATCTCAGATATGTTTTACAGTCTAGCCAAATCCCCTGATCCCCTTTTATACCCACCCGTCCCAAATCACCCGGATCCGCTTCGCATTCTTCCATCAAAACCTATGCATAAAGCTTATGAGATGGTATTAATTGAAATTTTAGATTCTTAAGCTGCAGGAGAATGTTCAACTTAATGGGGATGACATATAAAACGTCATCTGGGTGTTTGTTGTTATTGTTGGTGGTGGTGGTGGTTGTGTTTTGTGGGGTTTTGTGTTTTTTTGTGACGTGGTGGTGGTTGTTGTTGCAGCTGCTGTTGCTGTTGTTGTTGGTGGTGGTGGTGGTAGTGTTGTTGTTGTTGCTGCTGCTGCTGCTACTGCTGTTGTTGTTGTTCTTCTTCTTCTTCTACTCAGGTGCACGTTCGTGCCTTAAATAATGCACGGAAGGGCACCTGAGGTCTTCCTCCACCAGTAAAGCTGGTACGTCGCCATATATGACCTATACTGTGTCGCTGTGACGTAAAACCCAATCAAACAAACAAACATATAAATAAATCAAACTAAAATAAACAAGTAGTATCTGTTTTAGCAATTTTTTATATTAAGATTTTAAATCTGAAAGAATTAGTCAGATTTTAAAATATAGACGGCTCGTTTGAAGTGAATAATAAAATCGTAACATGCAATTAATACATTTCATTACATTTGTTAACGCTTGGATAATTTTACATTATTGTCGGGTTCTCTACAAAGTTTACTGAAATCTTGATCACCGAAAGTTTAAACATTATTTTAATGTGAACATTTATTTAAGGTATACAGTATTGGAGATCTTTACGTATCAATAACTAACCACTGATGCCTAACAGTTGTAATTTAAACTCAATTGAGAAATATTTACATTTTATAATATAAGGACTGTAGTTCAATTTCGGCTGGGTAAGTCCCTGGTGACAGTTGTGGAAAAGATCGCAAAGGAAAATTTTGACATTTCATCGTCAGAGCGAGCTTGTTTTAACAAAATCACAGGAGTGCGCTTGACGTTTAATAGATAAATGATAACTTTGAAAAAGTAAGCAGACGACACTTTGAAGAAACAACTTACAAAGGGACGCTGGTCGCTAAATCTGTTTAACAATGGGTAAGAAGGAGGAAAATGGAACTGTTGATAAAAAAGAAGACAAGGACCCTGATTTCAAAGAGAGAGAAACTTGGGGAAATAAATTTGACTTCTTACTTGCGTGTATTGGATTTTCTGTTGGTTTAGGAAACGTTTGGAGATTTCCATATTTGTGTTACAAAAATGGAGGCGGTAAGACTTTTTTATTACTTGTATATTATGAATTTATAGACATTTTATTGTTATAAGGTTGTTTTTGGTTTGTTCAGGAAGTGTTTTTAGGTGTAATATATTTTTTGCTCATTATTTATTGCAATAAAAGGTTTAGGTATTTGCATGATACAATATGTAAATATATACAATGTGTTTTGGTAAACAAGGTTGTAAGAGATTAAACAACATGTTAGTCTGATGCAGACGAAAATAATATGATAAAGAAACAAAACGAATAAACGTGCGCGTCTTCTAACATACAATGTTATGCACATATTACGGAAGCATAAACATTTTTGGAACAAAAATGGAACTAAATAAAGGCAATAGCAATCTGAAGTGATTTGCAAGGGTGATATTTTTCCGTCTTTTGAAATGAATCAACAGGGCGTTTCTCCGCATTGCAAGTAGAGAACTAAACCGGTTAGCTGAAAGAAACTTTGAAAGTATTGGCTGAAAAAAATATTGAATAAACTCTTTATAATAGCCTATATGTATTCCAGTCGCAATATGATTATAAATTCATACCTTGTAAATATGACAGACTGTAAAAGGTATGCAGTATTCGATTTCATAGTATGATTAACACGGGAATTGCATTATGAATAGCGGACAAAGTAACCTTGCAAGTGGTACACGGTGGTTTAACTTAATTCTTTGCGCTTGAAGACTATTTGAACGCCTTTTTCTATATTTATAGTCAGTGTGTCAGTGTTTTGTTTAGATTTAGATGTTTACATGTTTAATATTTGCACGGAGTGTAACAACAGTTCAAGTTACCGTGTCACAAATTAAACGACTGTGTATGACAAGGCATTTGAAGTTAAGTAATTAATGAATACGACTGCGTCCCTGCGGGCACGTTGTCTTACTTTACGAATACTCAGTATCAAAAACGTTTGTAGCATCACGTGTAAAAATGCGGATTCGACAAACGTCTTAATATAGAGGCATAAACTATGTACAAAACTTAGAAAATTAATAGTATGGATAAGAACTAAGTTACGTAGCCTAGTTTTAAAGTAAAGAAGGTCTTCAAGCGTGGTCTTTTTAAACAATAGCTTGAATACAATAGATATTGAACTTTAGTTTTTGTTTTTTTCTTTTGTATTGTAAAAGTAAAAATGATTTTTCATGTTAAGTCTTGTCGTCTGCTAATAGGAGAAAACTCAAAGGAGCGTGACCCAACATATTTATTTTGCTCCTATTTAAAGATATGAACGTACAACGTGGTAAAATGGTCATTTTGTAGCAATAAAGAAAAAAAAGACCGAGATGTGTCACACTTGAGCGTATGCATCCGAATGCAATAAATTGAACGCCTACCTCTGTCATGATTATATCTTTATAGACTTTATATTGAATCTTTATATTGGCAGGCATTCTGTCTCATATTTTTCACGTTCATTGAATTTATGAAGCTTAGCTGAAAACCTTAAGTAAATGTAATTGTGTAACCTTACATAACTAAAACTAAGAATTCACCACTTTCGCGTGTAGAAAGCAAAGCAAGTGCTTTACCGGCCTTGTGGTTGGCTTATTTCCATGTGATCCAATTAAGGAGCGTTGGTTTGAGTTCTAGTTAAGAAATTAAATTACATCATTTTTGCTTAAGTAGTTGTCCAAAAAATGGATGTGGGAAATAACTCTTAGATAAATTTGCTTGCCAATCGGCACAGGGAATGCGGGTCTGAGCCCTGAAAGGATTGACTTACTTCCAAATACTTAATATCTATTGAAATATTTTCTGATGAAATCATTTCACTGTGCTTTTATCATCACATATCATTTAAAAGCAAATAAATATAATGTAGGATTTTGAACAGCCTTGTTAAATAATACATTTAGAACTTCTCCGTGTATATTTGAAGTGTCGTGCCAATTACAAACATTATAATAGAAGATTTGAATTAATGCCACTATTACACATTGTGACAAATAGGCTCACCCGTCAGGGTGTTATTGTTTATGTGTACTGTATTGTTTAATAGATATATGTTAAATGTAAGATATCTGTGGCATTTTAATCACTTATATTTAAGTCGTTTACAGTGAAAATACACACGTAAGGTTTACGTTACAGTTATGACGTCATTTCCGAACGTAACATTATTTGCGGTGAGTTAAGTGCGTGGGGCAAGACGATTATAAATGTGGTCTGTCAACAGAAAACTTGTGAAAAATGTCAGTTATTCATAATTAATTTCATTGTTTTCTAAACTGATTTGACCATTTTATCAAGTAAACTTAACACCTCTGTATGGTCATATCTATTCAATCATTATTGATTTTCGGCCCAATATTCAAATATAGATCTAACAATTCATTCAAATTGACATAAAGACCTTTTCATATATAACATCAAAAATACATAAAAGGTTATATACTGTATTGTAAGTTAGTTTATAACTTGAATTTAAATACAAAGCTGTACAACGAATAGTTGGTATGTCTTGCTCAAAAGTTACCATTGAAATTCGATTGTGATGGTATTGGTAGTTTTCAATCCGAAACATGGCAGTAAGCCACATTGAATTTACCAGAGCACAGTTCAGTCACCGCATCTTTCCTGGGCAGACTGTCAAGCAGTTTACCAGGACTAGTTACCTTCACTTTCGCAAGGACCTGTAACTTCTGAACATGTCGGAGAAGAGGTACAGAGAACCTGAGTCGCCCGATTCACAGCCCAACGCTCTACCTACTGAGCTAATCGGATGGCTGCGATACTGACAGGCATGTGGCAGATAAATATATAATCAAGCATGCTGGCATATGCCGTGCGTGCCGACGACCTAGACTCTATGCATGTATGTCGATCAGAATAAGCACTGAGCAATCCCGAGTTCAAAGTATGTGAACTCTTTAATTTAAATTTAGCGGTGTTACTTATATTGTGTTGTGAAAACAATTCTCAAACGTTGTCAAAATGCAAATATTGCTACACAACCCTTTATTTATACATTGTACCACTTAAAGTAATGTATAAAAACGATTTTAAACTTCGTCAGCTACACGCATGTAAACATGGGTAAGTAACCATTTTAAAGAAGTAAATATTGCACCTAAGTATCAATTAACATTTCAAAGTTGGTGGATGAAAATATCGCAAACAAGTCATATAAAATTAAATTTTATTATACATTTTATCGCATGAAATCTTATATATATGTAAAAGTTATTTGTTATTGTATATTTATTGCCACAGACGGGCGTCAGTTAAGTATAACAAACGATTAACGATCAGTATAAAAAGGTATAATATATAAATAAAAAGGGATTAAGTACTTGATAAGAAAGTATATGTAAAGTTGATGGAAGAAGAGCTTGTGCAAAAATCTGGAAAAGGGAATGATCCCTCGGAAGCACTGATGACAACAATAATATAATATGAAAATTGCAGACTCGGTTTTATTGAGTCTGTTCATGAGAGATAATGTAAATTGCAACACCTCCCACGCTCCCTAGCACCGGCCCGAGCGATATTCAATCTTCACACTTACGTGCTTTAATCAATGATTATCATCAAAATCACATCCACACTGAAGTAAAGAACGGGGCAATCGTTTAACAACTAACACCTGCTGTTGTGAAGTAAAAAGAATCTTCTTCTTTTTTTAAAAAAAACGTGTCAAAAGTAACAAATACTGAAGGAACTGTGTCAAAATAAAGTGTTCATGTCGCTTATTAAGCTCACTCTCGCATTAATCGGTGTTTTGAAGATAGTATTATTAATCTGTAGGCGCTTAATAATAATCGGCTTAGAGTAAGAAATAAGACTGTGCCTAAGGTACGGTGACCGTCTACTTGACCGTCTAATTGATATCTGCAACTCAAACCTTTCCGTAATAGGTTAATCCTTTTTTTTGTCGGTGCATTTTTTAAATTTCTGAACCTACAAAAGGAGTTAAAGGAAGACTACTTGATAACATTAGTGCATAATTTATTGTGATAATGTATGCATACAAACATTTAACAAAGATACTATGCATATACTATGCATATACAATATATCTGTCGTTGATTCGTTGCATAATCCAGTAAAAATCGCTTAAGAAAGTATGGTGGCTGATTTGGTACATTTTTTTGTCGATAGCAACATCACAACCTACACGTATATCATTATCGCCTTTTCGTCTTGTCACTAGCGAAACGAGCCAAATGGCGCGTTATCGCACTGTCGTCTTGCCGTCCTGTCGCTAACGAAGCACGCCAAACGGCGCGTTGTCCTGCGGCGCGTGTCGCGATGTCGCTTTGCTTATAAGGCAATCCTTCGATCCGAGCGACAATGTGACATCGCGACAACGCGGCGTTTGGCGTGCATCATTAGCGACAGGACGACAAGACGAAAGTCTGACTGACTACGCACCGTTTGGCGCTTTGTCGTGCTGTCCTTAGCGACAATACGACGCACAAAAGCGTTCCAAATCAGCCACTGTAAGAAGGTCCAAAAACGGCAAAATTTATAATGATGTGCAGGCTTGGTTTGATTCAGCCTGTTCAGCCACACGGGCATCTTAGATTCGTGGGGTCTCTGCGACTGCAGATGTAAATGCACGGAAAAAAAGGTGCATTAACCCTCTATTGAAATATGCAAATGTCATCTGTGAAAAGTTGCTTCTCGTGTCCCTGTTGAAGGTACATGCCTTAGTCAAACGAAATCACAGAACTTATAAGGTATTTACTTAGATAAAAACTTAAAGTGGAATGTTCAAATAAAGCACGTCTGTAATAAATTATTACAAAAACAAATTGCTCTCTTAAAGTGGATATCGTTCTTTTTATCCGCTGAAATGAAAGAAATGTTTAACAAAGCTTATATTTTACCTTGTTTTGATTATTGTTGTATTATATGGAGTACTTGTAACAAAAAAAGTGAATAAACGGTAAACACGCGAAGCAAAGATAATATTGTGTAAAGCAGTTAAAACGCCATCTTTACAGCTTTTCCTTAACTTTTAAAAGTAGATGCACGTATTTAC